AACATCAGTGTGGATATCTGAAATGTAACATCTTGTTTAATCATGAGACCAGAAGCTGCATTTATATTTTGTTTTTATATATCCTTACTACAAAACCTCATGTTAATGCTTGAACACAAAGTGCCAGTCACAAGGTAAGAAGAAACGGGGATTTGCAATAATAGTCTGTTGAGCAGCTGGAAGAGAATGAGCAGCAACAGAAGAGACTGGTAACCAGCCTGGGCAGCAAAAGTCAGAGCAATGCTACCCACGCAGCTCAGGTGCACAAGGAAACGGTGCCAAAACCAAAGTAAAGATTAAACAGAGGACTGGTAGCTATGTGCAGTCAATGGAGATGTCCAACAGAGAAATTGTGAAAACAAAACTAGGATTTCTTTAAAATCATAACTGCTCATCTGTACGTGCAATGGATTGTGTCAGAGTGATGAAGAATTTGAAGAGTGCGGAGTTCTTGTCCAAACTCTCTTGGTTGTGACCAAATGTGCTGTCTTTTGTTGAGATGCGTGGTCCAGGTACAGTACCTGGCCATTGCTGCAGTGCCTGCTGGGCTGTTTTCTTTTTCCTATCCTGGAGATTCATAAGGCTGGTGCTAAAAGGCCTCAACCTGAGAGTGATGCTAGCCATGAGTGTCTGGTGGCACATCTAGGACAACTGGGCTGGGTACGGAGCTGTGAACATCTATTCTGTCGTGTCCTCTGCCGTAATTTTCATCACCAGAGGTTGAGTACTTTGTGAAGTCTGACGGACACATTGCAGCTTTCTTCCACCAGCTGCAGTGCCGGCTGTATAAGAAACAGATCTTCCGCTCTGACCTAAATACTCACCAACAATACCTTCAGTCAGTTTCTCCTGAGGACCCAGAAGTCAGGTTGTGTAACTGGAGTCTCTGTCCATCAAAGATAAGTATTTTTTCCACCTTTTTTTCTTCACAGTCCTCATCTTCATGTGCAGGTGATCAAGTCCTCCTGCAACTGAGCTCAGTTTGATTCAACAACAGCAGATTGTACTATAACATGTTTTTCCTATGCATTATATTTCCTCTGTAATAATAGGTTTACTAGAAAGAAAATTGAAAAATATAACTGTAAATAATATATTATTGCAACTCTTCTTTATATGCAGTCATAGGATATCTGGGAGAATCAGCTAAGGACACTATCTTTTTTCTTGCTTTTTTTGTTGTTTTGTTTTGTTTTGTTTTCCAGAAAGTCTGGTTCTGATATGGCTACTGAATATTGATTTTTTCTCTTTATTTGTGGGTAGGTGTTCTTTTCATTAAGTGATAGACACGTCAGAATTTGATTTCCTGACAAATCCCCATAAATATCTCTTTTTATTTCGCTTATGGTTTTCTTTGTTTACAGGCACGTCCTTAGGGCCATTTCTCCTCCTCAGGAGGAGCTACAAATGCCCTCTCAGTTATCTGCACAGGACTAGGCCTGTTTGGTTGGTGACAGCAGGCTGGCTCTCTTTCAGTTCTTAGGGATGTGGAAGCCAGTAGTAGCAGCCACATGCTTCACTGTCAGTCTTTGTTCTGACCTATGGCAACTTCCTTAAAATCTGGGGCATTTTTAGCTGCTGACGACCTTCTGTGCAGCTTTCATTGCCACCTTGTAGTGGCAGTTTGGTACATCTTCAGCCAGGAGGTGCGTTGCTGCAATGTCACCTTTAACTGCCTGACTGCGCTCTCCCAGACTGCACTGATCATATTTACATTGATTAATATGTTGTGCTGAATAACGAACGATCAAAAACCTTTGTATAACCAGATTTCCTCTGCAAGTGACAGCGCCTCGCTTAGACTCGCAGACCTCGTGCTGCTGCTGCACGCAGCCATCCCTCCCCTTACGCTCGGCAGTCGTCCTGAGTAAACTCACTGGATCTGAATCCTGTCCCTCATGCAACACAGGCCAGGCTTTGGCTTTAAGGCACTGTTTGTGTTGGAGGGACATATAAAATGGGGACAAAGTGCCTGAAGGAAGAGGACTAAGGTCATGGCATCACGGCCCATGTTGGAGTCTCTACAAAAAAGTAGTGTAACTAGCATTGTCCTCTGCTGAACGCGAGGAAGGTGATGCTGTCCCTGTCATCTGTATCAGGGTTATCAACACCAAATGGGTGCCCTAGCAGAAAGTACGTATCTTCTTTACCCTGCTCTTTAAACGTATGTTTAGTCAGAAGTTACCTGTGGAAAACTAGGGCATTTTTCATATTCTAATTCTCGCTCTGCATGCAATGAAAGGGAATTGCATCCAATTTGCTAACCTTTATTCCCAGATGCATATTTTGATTGCTAATGCTACATGAAAATTGTAGCTAGCCCCCTGCAAGTAAGCATCAGGCATTTTGGCTAAGGCAAAAATTACATATGAACTCATCACTGGGGAGACAGAATGGCATGAGAACCTATTTGGATGCAACTTGCATCCAGCAGCTCTGCCGCTTGAGTATGACCCTTTACCGGGTCCTGTTCACTTTAGTGTCTACAGAAAGGCCTAAAAACCCCTGTAACCAATATGCTATCTATCTGCAAAACCTCCTTGAGATAAGATGGGGTTTTTATTTCCTATTCTGGGCTAGCTGGGCGTTGCCACAGGGCAGTGTCAGGGGATGTATGGCCCCACAGACTAGTGTGGCCCCAGGCTGGTCCCTGGTCGGGGAGCAGGGGACGTGCTGCAGACCTCAGCACAGCCATCTCACCAACAGCCCACTTGTCTTGGGGTCGGAACATTTACCTGGGGTCCTGCTGCCGTCCTGCTAACCGGTGGTGAGAAAGCCAAGTCCTTTCTCATCTCACTTTCCCCATATTTTAAAGAGCTTCAGAAGTGCTCTGGGATCTGCCAGAACAAGGTATTGTTATTAAAGGTTTACAGGTGAAACTATCTGTCTTGATTTTCCCCTGTATCCACTAGGGTGGACAAATCAAATCTTTTGTCTCATTTAGTGGGGGAAAAAAAGTCTAATTTACTAAATTTCACAACATTCGGCCAAGGAAATTATCCTCCTGTTTCTGCTGTGTCTGGGATTCTGCTCTGGTCTGTCTCAGTACGGCACAGGCAACTGGTAAAGATTTCAGCTCTGGACTGCTGCATTGCTTTCCCTCCTGATAAAAACAAATTACTTGCAAAAACTTGTGCACTGTTGGGATTTTCATATGTTTATATTTTCTGTGTGAAGCATGTAGCAGCAATTTAGCCACATAAATTTGAAGAAAACAGGATGTCCTTCAAAAAAAAACCACAGAACAACACACACACATATATATTATATATATATTTGTATATATATATATATGTATCCCCCAAGCCCCAAATGGATTATTTATGCAAAGTTTTTGATGCTATGGAGCACCTGCACATCGTTGTTTTCAGTCTGCTGTGAACAGTGATCAAGGTCACTAGGAATCATGGTGGGGCATGACATGGATCCTTTCTTACCAGCTGGTCATAGTGGCGGTACCTGCAGCATCAAGTTGTTTAAAACCTTGCAAACTTTTCCTCACAGATGTGACTACATTTTTGAGTGTTTTATGTGTTGCATGAGAAAGAATTTGGGCAGAGTAAAGTACCCCCCATTTCCAATAAATAATTACGAAGGGTCTGCCAAAACAGCAGTCCCCTGATAGGTTATAATGCCGCTCGGTGTAATGCGCTCCCCATGCATTTCATCATGGACATGAAATCTGGACCAATTATCATTTTCTCATACTGTAGCTTTTAAAGTATTTTTATTTTCTTTGTTACTGTCTAGTTCATTAAACAGGGCTTGCAAGCTCCCAGTAACAGGATTACTATTGACAATTTCATTAGAACTATAATTCCACCGCTTGTGCGCCTTCCAGGGAGAACCATCACAGTCCACAGCCACAGCCCGTCCACCTCTGCTATAATCGTGTTTGCAACTGCCTACAGCTCTTTCCCCTTGAATTTGGAAGGGCCAAAACTGCCAGTTTTCTTAAAATGGGTTTTATCTGTGTGTTACACCAGCCCAGTTAGTTCCTGGTGAATTATGGAACTGTCAGCTGCGGTCTGACCCTCTGCATGTTGGGAAGGATGCTTAATGTACAGGTGCAGTAAGTTTGTAATTGCAATTTATATATAGCAGTGCAATGCCTAGCCTGGCAGGTAAATACCAGCAAACAGCACAGCTTGAATGGGAGCTGTAAACGTGCAAGTAGCAGGTTTGTTAGAGATCAGCAGCTGGTTTGATTGCAGGCTCCTTGGAACAGAAAATGTCTCAGCTCTTCTCTCTCACCTCTTTCTGGCCAGACATGTACTACAGTAGCACACAGTGCTGTGGGTTTCTCAGTCCCCGTATCTTTGTTTTCAGGTTAACTCAGGATATTCGAAATAACAAACCCAAATGTAGCTTGGATGAGTTGTTTAATTTTTTAGTTATTATTTGTCTTGCTGTTGGGTTTACAGGATCCATTTGACCAGGGGCCTTTCCTCTAGTACAGGAATAGCAGTGGAAAACCAGAAAAGACAAAATCCTCCTCCTCTGCTCCGAGTCTTCCCTCTGTGTCGACTTATGCATTGAGATGGATGCTCTTTCAGTCGAAATAGCAACCAGAGCAATAAACTTTTCTTTAAGTAAGTTTGTAGATCAGCTCTTGGAATGTAAGATTTTTGCTGTGTTATCCAGCAGCACTTTTTAGTGTTTTTGATGGAAAAATTTTCAAGATTATGTAGATCAAGAACAACCTAGAAGAACAGATGGGGAACAGGTGTGAAATCGTGGCCCCAGTGACGGGGAAATACAATCTGGAATCAAACTGAATAAAGATAATGGTCCCTTCTGACCCCAAGGTGCGTTTATTTGATGTCATGAGATAACATCTCCAAACATCTCAGGGTGCTGTTTGTACTTGTTGGCAGGATCTTTAAGAAAGAAAGTTGACAGCTAAAGAAATATTTCTATTTAACATAGCGTAAAAGGGATCAGAAATAACTGTGTTCTGTAAGCTATCTAATCCAGCGTGCTTTGTTCTTTTGAGTGGGCTTGTGGAGGACATAAATGGGATGTCAGTATTCAAGGGAGGGAGCTGGGAGAGACACTTCTTTCTAATTGTGTAAATTGCTTTTAATTGAATGTAAGTTTTATATCTCCAGTTATCCCATCAAGATTGTATTTTATTCTGCACTGACACTCTAGAAAGATCTTTTTCGATGCACTTTTAAGACACTGTGTATTTGACCCACTAAGAACAACAACAACAACAAAAAGGCAAACAGATTGGTGCCTAACACTGAAGACGAGCTGCCCAGGTGCTGCTGCAGGGTGCTGGGAGCAGGCAGAAGCACCTGGGCGGGCTCCGGGCACGGCTGCAGGTCCCCATGGGTGGCCTCGCCGAGCTGCTGCTCATTTGTTCACCGTGTGCCCCGATGTAGTTGATGTCTTTGCACGTGTAATTAATTATGATTTATTTGAAATCCCTCTGTAAAGCCTTGTTCCTCAATTTCCTACAAATCAAATTCCGGAAGGCTAGATTGGATTTTCAGGTTTCCTTCAGTTGGTTTGAGGTCTGTCTGGCGTGCCTACCCACGGGCAGGGAGACGCTGCTGTCCAGCCAGAGCTAACAACCTGTGTGGAGAATACAAAGGCTTTCTTATGCTGGTAAGTTTATATCTGACATGTAAACTTCCCAAATTTGTTTGTTTGTTATGGGGTATGGTGCATGGTAATGGAAGATGTATGTCCTTTCTTTATGTCTCCTTTATGTTGTAAATTATGTGCACATCACTTAGATATTGAGTTAAAATGTGTATTTTTAATGGAGGAAACAAGTACAAGAAAAAGCGTGCTTTCATATTGGTAAGACATTAAAAGGGAAAAAGTAGCTAAGGAGAAATGTAGTTCTGTAGTTCCCCAGCCAACTGTGGGTTGCTCGTGGGCAACCTTAGGAGCCGCTGTGTGTGCCGGCACTGCTGGGAAACGCTGGAGTGCCCCAGACACAAACTCTGAGGCACACTGATGCGTTGAGGGCCTCAGCTCTGCGAAGTTAAGCGTATATTCAATTGCTGCAAAAGGAAGCGTGTATATTTTTCAGCTCTTACCCTTGTCCAGCGAACATTGCAATTGCGTGTCCGGATCGAGTCTCAGCAAAACTAACCCCCAGCTCAGCGCAGCTCTCGTCACTCTGTGCAAATTGCCAAATGATGCTTTTCAGACAAGGCGATGGCAGGTGCGATCGAGGTCCTGTAAGACTGCGGAGGGAAGTCTGGTGTTCCTGCTTTAAAGATTATAGCTGATTGAATCTGTGAAAGAGAGAAAATTGCCATGGTGTGAATGGGGAGGAGGAGGAGAGAGGGGACGGACTGATTCTGAGCTCCTAACTGTGAGAGTCTCCACACTGCAAAGTGCAGGCAAATGGGTGCTTTCTTCCCAGCTCCCCCGAGGCAAATCGTGGAGGATGTAGCGCAGATAGACATGAAAACTGCAGACCTTCTTAGCAAGGTATGTTGGAAGTGGAAAATCTCTTGGCAAAAATAATTGTGTGTGTTTTAGTTTAGGAGGTAGCTTGGGAGGGGTACTTCAATAGTCTTAAAATAGAGAGGGTTATGAGCTGATGACTCTTCTCCATGTCCACTCTCTGTTGAACAAGAACAAATTGACTTATTTTTTTTAACTTTTTATTTTTTTCAGCTCAGATATAAACTTGGTGGCCATGGGGATAGGCTGAGAGTGATTGCAAAATCTTGTAATTAGTAGTGTTAAATAACAGATTTGACAAACACCTGTGTGAATGCCCCACAGACGCACCTGACCCTGTCTGAGAGCCCAGGAACGAACTCTCTGAGCCTTGTGACCCTTCCCAGCTTTGTTTCTGTGTCTTTTTGCAAATGGCTGCCCGTGTAGCTGAGGACAGGAGAAGTTCGAAGTGGGGCTGTTTTCAGCAGGAATTGTTTTATCTGCTCACATAACTTTTTCAAAGGCTGGATTTATTGAAAAAACATACAAACCTAGCAGGAACCCGAAGGAGAATGGCATTGGGTTTGTTTGGGTTGAACATTGCTGGGCTTTCTGGGCTGGCTGAATGCAAGGGTGGAGTGGTTAGCACCTGTGATTTTTTTGATGGACTGCAGGTGATAAGTAGACAGAAACCATTCAAGTGGTGATTTTGTTCTTTAACACTCCTATAAGTTGCTGGGACTTCTGTCCTTTTTCCTTCTGTTTGAGACAAAGGTGAGTTGCTCTTCTCCCTTCGATGAAAGTCTGGACTCTTCTACCTGCAGGTCAGTGGGTGTCTTAAGAGCTTGGTAGGAAGTTTACTCTAACTTGTCTGGTGTTGTGCATTGCCTTTTAAACAAGTGTAACATGACAAAAGCGTGTTGCTCGGATGAGCTACCTGAAAGTGAAAAAGGCTGCTAGGAATTGGGAAAATCGGGAGTGTGCGCGTTCAAAAGTAACTTTTAAATAGCCTTAACGTTGATTTTCCTGGAGCAACAATTTACAGCTCATCCCTATCTAGGCTCAGAAAGGGTGGAGTAATAGAAATACATCTTTGCTTACTGTATGTGTGTGAGGTGCTCTCTGAAGCGCAAATGTTGTGATGTGGCTAATACAGGAAACCTACAGGAACACACACAGCAAATTAAAAATAAATAAAATCCTTGTGCCTGTAACACTGATTCTGGAAGCTTTGTTCCTCTCTCTAAAATGCTGGCACAGAACGTGTCTAAAGCAATGGGACAGTGAATTCAAATGAGATAAGTAGGGTCTGGTTTGCTCTTAAAATCAGCTTGTGCAGGGTTTGGTTTGTTATTCTATGAGTAAAAATAGAGATTAGGCTTCAGGCAAAACAAAATGAAAACTTCCATATCGTGTCTTGGTCGCTGTTATTCATAAATCAATTCAGATGGTAATTAATAAAGGTTAAATCTTGGGGGTGAGGAGGTTGTTTGGCTGTTCCTGCAAGCTTGTACGTGTATGGAAGTATTAGAAGTGTTTTGAGGGGTGGGGAAGATAAAGGAATTTGTGCCCACAGGAGCTTCTGCATTTCAGTACTTCTTTGCTTTGAAATTGAGACATAATCATCCTTTCCCCTTTAAAAAAATACAAAGCATTCTATGGAAAACTCTTTCTTGCTTGTTTTTTATTTTTTCCTTCAGTACTTCTCTTATAGAGAAGAAATGAAAAATACTCCTTCCATGGCCAGAGCCTGGGGAAGGACAAAATAGAATCGGCTTGCAGCAGGAGATTCACACTGCGTGCATGTGAAATCTGCAGTGCTAGGGGTATGGAAGCACTCAAGTTCCTTGCCTGTGGAATGTGTTTCCATCACTGGAGATGTGTGTAGTGTTTTTCCTTTTTTTGTTTTTCTTAAGTGCTAATGATATATCAAGAATACTGTAACAGCTCTACTTAATTGTGCCTTGAGATAAGAAAAGCAGACTTAAAGCCTTCATCTTTTCTGGTTTTATTTGGTTTTGATTCTATGACTGAAAACTTGTTCTAAATTCAGTATATTGACTTTTTAATTGGGGATGGGGGGAATGCAAATCTTTTGATTTATAAACGTGAAACAGTATTTCTACTCAAGCTGCTGAACTTTGTTTATATTTTCTTAATGGTAATTTTGTGTGAGGCTTTTCTTTCTCTGCAAAAATAAATGATAAGGTAGATATCTTATAACAAAACATCATTTACACAGGGAAAAGTTTCATCTGAAGTTTGATGCCCGTTACTAATGGATAAAAAAACAGTGTCTGCATTTGTTCTGGTTTGTGGAGCAGTAAGAGTAGGACTCGATGATCCGAGCTGGTAGCTTCCAACTTGGGCTGTCCTATGCTTTTGGTCTCATTCCCATCTTTGAGCCAAATACTTGGCAAAAGTCACAGGTGCTTTTGGAATTGCATTGTGAAATGGGATCAACATCCCAGTAGGCAGCTCTCCACCAGTACGGTATGGATGGGACTTCAAACGGTCATTTTTATGACTATTTCTATCTGCAGCCCAGCTGAGACACAGAGATGATGTCTGTTGCTGTAGCTTAGACTTCCAGTTTTATTCCATCCTTGGCCCGGCGTGCTGCTTTCTTGCCCGTCACGTCTTCTGCCTGCTGCAAAGCCCTTCTGAGGGATTCCTGGGAGAAGAAGCAGCTTGAGAGATGCTCTGCAGATTGAGCAGAATTGACGCTGCCCCCATTTACTTGTTCCCATACCCAGATGTCTGCGTGGCTGGCAGTCACCGGGGCTCTGCGTGTTCCTGGAGAGAGCTGGGCTGCGCTGCTCCGGTGAGCTCTGGGTTGGCCGCTCCTGGAGAAAAGGGTGGGAGATGTCCAGGTAGTTTGGAGCTGAGTGATTAATTTTGTGTGATCCTTACGTAGTTGGTTCATCGAGGGGATTTTTCTCCACCCTACTTGTAAACCATACTTCTCGCCAGCTTTCTCTGCCCGTTAGTACATCAGGGACTGTCTGCAGGTGTTTCCTGACCTTTATTAAGATCAGCTTGGATCAATGAGTTACGTAGCATTGCTCTCCATTTTAATACTGCAATCTCAATGAGTTTTTTTCAATACCCATATCAGCTGATCTTTTGTACAGCAAATAATTCACCCTTCACAGTTGTTGTTTCTTCCTTATACTTATGCATGTTTAACTGTGATCGGGAGCATTATTACATCTGTACATGTTAATCTGCCTGTGCTGAACCATGCCCCTGGGTGGCCTTGTCATATACAATGAATGTCAACCTTCCTTGTGGTTAGTGTTTGGGTTTAAATAATTGTATTTTACTTTTTGTAGACACTTCTTTCCAGCAGACCATGGAATGTCAAGTGGACGTTATCATTAGTTTGGACCTAGTCCTGAGGCAAATTAAATGTTTGACTCTTTATTGAAGAATCCCCTTCCCTTCCTCTAAATGATGAGATAAATTCAATTTATTTTTTTCTAACAGAAAATGTTGCAAGAGGCTTATTGCATATTGCAGTGGTGGTGACTGAAAAAAATAAAGCACTCTACTAGTTCATGTTTACAATATATGAATTTAGTTTGGTTATAAATTACCCAGACTCCTGTGCTTTGGAGGCAATTGAAAATCCCAGGGGATTTCTCCTAGCCTCTCATTTCAGGGAGGAGGGACATTAAAAAAAAACAGTTGTTCTCATAATGTTTGGTTATATCCGCGTTTTGTCTGTGTTAAAAAATGAAAAAGGTAAATGCAAAGTACAGCATAATTTATAAAATGTAGACTTTTCGTGAACCAGGAGATATGAAGTTGGCTAAAGCTACAGGTGAGGATTCAGCTAATTCTCATTTTATGTGAGGTGCTGTTTATGCACCTTATCTATTTTAAATGTTCTAGACATGTAATTTCCACATGATTGCTGTGACTTGTAGATTTTTGAATTGCTTATAGCAAATATCCTCCCTAGATTTGAGTAGGATTTTTTTTTTTTTATTTTGTAAGGCAAAAGAACTGACAGATCAAGTTTTGGCACTTTAAAAAATTTCTGTTTTTTGTAGTCTCAAGAATGTTTGTATGGGCGGTTGTTTGTTCAAGAAACAATCATGGTTACTAAATATATGGAATTAAAAAAAAAAAAAATCAAGGTTGTGCTGGAATGAACGTATTTAAAATTCAGAAAGAGAGATTCCTTAATTAACTTAATAAAATTACTAATGGAAGCATTTTAACTGCTAAATTTAATTTACTTGTCAAGATATCAGGCTACAAAGAGGAAAGAAGAGTGGGAACTCTGCTTTCCATTATGATGTGCTCTATTATAGAATAAATTTGCTTAAAATGAAATATATCACAAAAAGCCATCAATGACATCTTAATTTGGAACAGCCAGTTGAAAAGTAATTAGACTGTGAAGCAATCAGTTCTAGTAAATCAGTGTTTCTCTTTACATAAACATACGTTTTTACTATTTATAAACAGGAAAGACTTCTAGATACTCAAGTAGCAAGGACTTTGATTGTATTTCTACTGTATGTGTTTTCTATTTTACATTACAAAACTGTCAAAACAAAAAGAATTGGGGCTTGATTTGGATGTGATCCAGCGAAACGCTTAAGCAGAGGTTTCACTTTAACCGTTCCTTTACGAACATGTCTCTGAGGGGCCTCCTCTTCCATTGACAGAGGTCCAAATTTATAAGCTGAAACGGGGATTAGAAATAGGAAAGGAATTGCAGGTGTGTTCAGTGTGACTGCCTGGTACACCCTCTTCATCACTGCTATAGGGGAGGCCAGTCCTGAGATAGCTTGATAATGGGACTAATGGTTTTGCAGCAGATTTGCTTTCAGAATTGGCCTAACCCAACCCCTCTGGAAATCTCTCTTTAAAAATGATGACCCCATGGGAAAACTTCACTTTGAAGATTCAAGTCTTAAAAATAACTTCTTGCGTTCACCACTGTGAGTCCGCACATCTTGATGGCTGCCTCGTAAGGGATTCCCACCATTTAGGGCTGGTGTTTGAGTTGGGATGGCAGAGAGCTCGGTGCTAAATGGACATTCGTGGGGTCTTGGCATCTAATCTTTGTAGTCCTTTGAAGAATATTGCCCTATGATAAAGCACCAAATCCAGGAGGAAAAAACAAAGGCAACTATGATATCAGGGTTGCTACAGTATTATTTAGAACTGCTGTATGGCTGTTGGTGTTCCTCCCTGGTTGCCTCTGTCTTGGTCCTCTACCAGCCAGCCTGTGTGTTAGGAAGA